TGGGTCTCGGATGTCTTTGCTTTGGGGAGGAAGAGATGGCTTGGGGTTTAGGGTTTAGGTTTTCGGGTTTAGGGTTTAGGGTTTAGGTTTTAGGGTTTAGGGTTTAGGGTTTAGGGCTTCAAGGGTTTAGGGCTTCAGAGTTTGAGGGTTCCTAGGGTTGGTGGGTTTCGTGGGATCCTTAATATACATGCATAGTCTCATGTACCCCCAAAAAGCCATCTTCGAGCCAGGAAGGTCCCTAGATTAAGCACTCGGGCCTGGAAGTTGGCGTGAGCAGAGACTCTATACCCTGACCTAAAGCCCTAAACCCTAAACCCTAAAACCCTAAACCCCAAAACCTAAACCCTGAACCCTAAACCCTAAAACCCTACGCCCTAAGCCCTAAACCCTACAACCCTAAGCCCTAACCGCCCCACGAGGTCCTTCGAGCTCCCGCCACTGCGCAGGCGGTGGCATCTGCCTGGAAGGAGGCTTGCTTAGGACTCCCATGAGGGTTCCTGGAAATGTTGTGGGTTTAGACTGGGATGGTGATCATGTGAATTGGGTTGATTAACTATCGGGTACTCTGATCTTTTGGGGCGAGCGGGATTTTTGGCGCAGGGGCCCTGAGTTCAGGGTCGAGGGGGCTTAGGGTTCTGGGTTTGCAGCTTGGGATAAATAAAGGTTGCCCAAAGCGTAAAAGATTTCAGGCGTTTGGCCGTGTTTGCGTTTTTCTGTTTTGTGCTTGGGGCTGTGCCGATGACCTGGAGGGCACAAAAGACAGTTCGGCCATTGACAGCCATCCCACACTGCGAAGATCCATCGTTGGACCAGCCAATCAACCGGGAGAGTTGTAGTCAATGCTTATGATGCTTCCGAATGTGTGTGGTTGTATAACGTTGCGATTATATATATATATATATATATACATACTATATACACATACACATGTACATATACATTTACATTTACATATACATATACATATATACATATATATACATATATATATATAATAATAATANNATATACACACACATACATACATACTCCTCTGTGCCGCATCGTGACCGACAGGTGCAGCACCTGGGCACCGAAGGAGGGCGCTGCGAGGAGATCGAAGGGTCGGGTCGCTTCGTCGTCCGCGCTTCGGATGCATTGGCCTCCTTCGTGCCCGGTTTAGGGTTTGGGGTTTTAGGG